AGGCGGGCCAGGCCCTGTCACAAGTTTCTCCGGGCCTTGGAACTCCCTGGCTCCCTGGGGAAGCGGGAAGGAACTTCTCTGGGCAGCTTGGTGGACTCAGGAAATGACCGGGCCAGGCTGCCTGCTGGGGACCCGCGGCAGGTCACTTTCTGCAGGGTGTTGGTGTTCTGATCCACTTGGTTTGCCTTCTTGGCTCTCTTGTGAGCTGCTGCTTTTGCCTTGAGTTTGAAAGCGGGCTGGAAGTGTCCAGTGAATTTCCATGTTTCCACCCGCTGACCCCCGTCCCCTCCCCCAATCAACTGCCAACAGCTGGCAGCATTAAAAAAAAAACACCTCAAACCTCACGAAAATTAAATACCTGGTGCATTCTGGAAGTTCACAGCTCTAGTGGTCCTCTCTGACTGGTGTGGCCCTAAGTCCCACTGGGCCCTAAGGAAAGAGAACTTTTCCTAGGGAGGAAAAGTTAGTCACTGATGAGTGTTGAATATTAAGAATTGTGATATTAAAGTGACTTAAATAGTACCATTCATAAACACATAAGTGGTTTGTGTTCTGTGTTTCATAATAGACAGTATTGTGTGGTGTTAGGACTATAAACTTTGAACTTCATTGCATCCAGTTGGAAAAATTGACTTGTCAAAATGATTGGGACTTAGTAAGAGTTATCCATTGCTCAGACCCAGTGAGACCCAGAGTCCCTATTTTACTCCACCAGGATTGGGCTTGATTAGCTATAAGAGTGTTCATCAAAGCCTAACATGTTCAGATTGTGAAGATACTGAAATGGAAGATTCTGATTAGGAGTCCTAGTTCTGACAGGGACAGATGCTGCAGAACATAGTGCTTAGGTAAAAGGAGCCACATGGCCACATGACTTTCATGTGTTGATTTCAGGTCTTGAGGCCTTTTGTTCCTCTTCAGTCTAGACTGTAATTCATCCTTAACAATGAGCTTAGATGAAATATAGTAGAGCCGTTTTGTGGAGTTGTTGAAGACTGTATCTATTCATAGTCTTTTCCCCCTCTTTTGAGAACAAGGTTTCCATATGAGTAGCTGGCTGGCCTCATATGTAAGCCCAGTGTCCCTTGAACTTGCTGTGTTACCTAGGCTAGCCTTGAATTCTGCCTCAGCCTCCTGGGTGCTAGGATTTGAGCTCTCACTACTCCTGGCATGGTTTGAAAAGTGAACTGCTTAAAGTCATGTCTATCTGGCCCTATGAATGTGACCTTATTTGGAAATAGGGTCTTTGTAGGAGCAGTCAAGTTCAAATGAGGTTGTACTGGTTTTGCAGGGGTCCAAGCATATGACTGTATCCTCATAAGAACAGGAAAATTGATATCAGAGAGACAGACACAGAGAAGATGGCCATGTAAAGATGGAAGCAGAGGTAAATGAGGTCTTTACAAGCCGAGGAAAGCCAGGGGTTGCTGGCAACCACCAGAAGTTAGAGGTGGCAGGAAGGGATCCTCTCCCAATGACTTCACAGAGAGCATGGCCCTGCCAACACCTTGCTTTCACAGTTGTAGAACCGAGAGAGTAAATTTCTGTTGTTTTGAGCCACACTAGTCTTGGTTTGTTGTGGAAGCCAGAGAAAATGAATACAGTCTCTTGTGGGAAGCCTGTGTTACCAAAAGTAGACTTTCCACTTCTGGTGTTGCACTTGCAGAGTTGCAGTACAGACTGGAGACATGCTGTGGGCTGCCATTGCAGGGGGGGGCAGAAGGGGTGGTTGGGCCTGTGCAGCCCCGTGTTGCCCTTCGGTCCTGTGGCCCTCATTGGGGCAGGCTGCTGTTTTAGTGTCAGGCTGCAATAGCAAAGGTGCTGGCCTTTTCCTTCTTGTGTCACCCTCCTGGTCCTTATTCCCATGTCCTGGGTCATCACCTGCATAGTTGCAGTGTCCGCACAGCTCTTGCCCAGGCTCCCGTGGCTCTGCCTGGTCTTTTCAGTGGTTTCTATGATTGTTTGTATTGAACACATCATCCAGGATAATCAGGCGGGAGAGGACGTACCTCAGAGTACTAGACTGCTAAGGGAGATTCCGTGATAGTGTGGCCAACACTCATTCTGCGCTCTGTGTGGACCAGGCCTCAGTCTTGGTGCTCCACAAGTGTCATGGGGCCTTTTCATGTGCAAAACACAGGCTTTATCTTCCAAGGAGGACTCACTGAGACAGGCCTGGTTTGGAGCCTCTTGGTTGTTTCTGAAATGCAAACTATGCATAGGCACTTATGGGTATCGTCTTAGGTCCTTTATGACTTGACCACTGCTCAGTTGTAAGCCATATTCCTCTCTCTCCTTTCTTTGGCCTTTGCTCTCCCCCTGCTGATAGGCTTGGCTTTCTCGGTTCCTCCATGTGTACTGCTGCACTTTGATGTTCTTGTAGCTGATGAGAATGCTCCCTGCCCCCTTGGCTTACCTTGCTTGCTTTTCCCATTTTGCCTGAAGCCTGCCTCTTTGTGAAGCCTTGCCAGTTTATGCGCAGCTCTAACTTCAGGACGTCTATGTGCTGCTTTGCTGTCTGACAGGGCTACTAGTGAGAACTGGTGGTGGAGCCTAACTGCCTGGAGAGATTGGGTGATTTAGCCAAGGTTATGCCTGAGAGGTTGTCTTCCTGGTCTTTGTGTGTTTGGCTGAGGCTTTCTTAGAAATTCCTCTCCTGGATGAACTGCCAGTGTGATAGGGTGGAAAGACCTCTGACTAGCTATTAGGTGGATTTTTTTTTTTTTGACAGTCCTGGGGTGTGAACTCAGGGCCTGTGTACTGTCCCTGAGCTTCTTTTGCTCAAGGCTAGAAGTCTACCATGTGAGCTACAGCACCACTGCCGGCTTTTTCTGTGTATGTGCTACTGAGGAATCGAGCCCAAGGCTTCATGCATGCCAGACAAATGCTCTACCACTAAGCCACATCTCTAGCCCTATTAGGTAGATTTTAGCCTTCGTTTACCTGTTTGATGTTCACCAAGTCCTGGTGCCCTGGTGCCATTGATTTGTGCACCTGTGACATGAAGTGTTGCATTCGACCTAAGTAGCTGTTGTGACCAAAGGGAGATTCTTTTGATGTAGCACAAGTTCTCTCTGATGAGATGAGGAGCGGCCTTCTGGACCTGTTGGGAGTTTGATCATTCATTCATTCAGTAACTGTTCAGTTAACCCATACCCTGTGTCAGGACCCACCTGCTCCAGAAGTGAAGGTTATATCAGTCAGCAAAACAGACTAAGGTCTGTCCTCTCAGGGAGCTTGGGATAGAACGGGAGAGCAGAGAATGAGTACTTGTGTTAATAGAAGTAGCTGTCGGAATGTGGCAATATCACCAAAACACAGTGTGGAGCCAGGTGTCAGTGCTCACACCTGTAATCCTAGCTACCCTGGAGGCTGAGATCTGTGGATTGTGGTTTGAATCCAGCTGGGGAAGACTCTTCTTTCCAGTTGGCCACTAAAAAAGCTGGAAGTAGA